AATGTACAATTAAGTGGGTTTTGGTTTATTCACGAGGCTGTACAACCATCACCACTATCTAACTAAAGGACTTTGTCATTACTCTAAAAAGAATGCCCACATCCCTCAGCTATCACCTCCCCCCCCTCCAACTCCCCTATGCCTAGGAAACTATTAATCTACTTTCTGAGTTCATAGATTTGCCTATTCTGGACATTTCATATATACGGAATCATATGATCGCCTTTGATGGTGGCCTTTGATGACTGGCTTCTCTCACTTAGCATAATGTTTTCAAGGTTCATCTATGTTGTAACATGTATCAGTACTTCCTTCCTCTCTATGGATGAATATTCCATTTTAAGAATACAAAATGGAAGTATATATTAATTAATTAATTACATGAGTGGAATTTTATTTATTTATTTTCATTTATTTATTTTTTTGTGGTACACGGGCCTCTCACTGCTGCGGCTTCTCCTGCTGCGGAGCACAGACTCCGGACACGCACGCTCAGCGGCCATGGCTCATGGGCTCAGCCACTCCGCGGCATGTGGGATCCTCCTGGACCAGGGCACGAACCCGTGTCCCCCGCATTGGCAGGCGAACCCTCAACCACTGCGCCACCAGGGAAGCCCATTAGTGGAATTTTAAATCCACTTTGTTTAGCTATTCATTGGCTGATAGACATTTGTGTTGTTTCCACTTTTTTTGGCTACTATGAGTAATGCTGCTAAGAGCAGTGGCATATAAGTTTTTGTGTAAGCATATTTTCAATTCTCTTGGGATATACCTAGGAGTAGAACTGCTAGTCATATAGCAACTCTGTTTAATTTTTGAGAAACTTTCAGACTATTTTCCAAAGGGGCTGCATCATTTTACATTCCCACCAACAATGTATGCATGTTTCCAATTTCTCCACATCCTCACCAACAGTTGCTACTGTTCGTCTTTTTGATTACCTCCATTTTTTTTTTTTTTTTTTTCGATACGCGGGCCTCTCACTGTTGTGGCCTCTCCCGTTGCGGAGCACAGGCTCTGGACGTGCAGGCTCAGCGGCCATGGCTCACGGGCCCAGCCGCTCCGCGGCATGTGGGATCTTCCCGGACCGGGTCACGAACCCGTGTCCCCTGCATCGGCAGGCGGACTCTCAACCACTGCGCCACCAGGGAAGCCCCGATTACCTCCATTTTTTAAACACAAAATAAGAGAGCATACCATACACACTGCGGCATGATTGCTTTTTCCACACAGTATCTTAGAGATCTTTCCCTAACAGGAAAATAGAGAGGACTTGTTTCTGGGGAAGCAGCTGGTACAGAGGAGGAAGAGGTGAGGGGAATCCTGAACGAACAGACATACTTACTTATATACATACATAGATACATTTTTTTCTTCACAGTTTTCTTGTATCACAAACACACAGGCCCCTGAAGGGCTCCCAGAACACCATCTGAGAACTACTTACCTATCTGGGTTACCCCTCACTTGACAGATGAGGAAACCAAAGCCCAGAGGGCCATTTGACCTCCTAGGCCTGTTGTAACAAAGTACCACAAACTGGGTGGCTTAAACAACATTTCTGGAGGCTGGAAGTCCAAAATCAAGGTTGTTTCTTCTGAGAGCCGTGAGAGAGAATGTGTTCCAAGACTCTCCTAGCTTCTGGAGGTTTGTGAACAACATCTGGTGTTCCCTGGTTTATAGAAGCATCACCTGATCTTTGCCTTTATCTACACATGACATTCTCCCTGTGTGAGCACCCATCTCAAAATTCCTCCTTTTTATTAGGACAACAGACATATTGGATTAGGGCCCACTCTAATGACCTAATTTTAATTTGATTACCTTGGTAAAGAATAAGATCATATTCTGAGGTCCTGGGGGGGTGGAACTTCAATGTATGAATTTTGATATCCATTTTGAAAGATGTTATTAAGCTAGTGTAACCACTTGTAGGCATTAGTGGGAGATAAATCTTCATACACACTGCGGCACTGTGGTCAGCTGACTGGAGGTCAGGAAATGCAGAGCCAAGTCCCGACTCTGACACTCACTCACTGTGGGACCATTTACCATCTGGATTGCCACTGTCTCTTCTCATTGATGAGTTGATGTGATAACTAAACTCCAGAGGATTCTCTGATTCCTATTCTGTTTTGTTATGCTCTGTTTTGTGCTATTCTTTCCTACCTCCACACACAAATATGAGCAACAGAGAGACAGATGATGTAAACAGACAAGCATATTTATAACACCCATTCGTAGGTTTACAGATTTTTAAAAATGGAAGGCTTTCATCTACCGCTCTCATTTAATAGGCAAAAATATGGAAGCCTAGGGAGGTGAAGTGCCTGGTCCTAAGACACACACATCATTCCTTGCTTGAATAACTTCAAATAGGGGAGGGTCCTTAAATTAAGTCCACAGACCTGAGGGTCTCCATGAATGAACTTTAGGGGTCTATATACCTCCTGAGAGTTTGCGTGTAAAAGCTGGTGTGAGTTTGCATGTTTATATTTTATTTATTCTGTTGGAAGAAATCTTTAGCTTTCATCAAATTCTCAAAAGGATCTATTTTTGTTCAAATAAATCTTTAGTTCTTATGCCCTAAATGCCTGGCATATAAGAGATACTCAATGAACATTAGTTGACTTATGTATATTGAACTCTTAACCAAGACAAAGTTCATAACCACTGGAGTAGAGTAAAACAGAATGTGATCATTCTCTAGAGAATAATCCTCACTGCTTCCTGCTCACAAAATGCTCTATCTGTGTGACATCTTTTGTCAGCCTGTAGTTCCCAGTCCTGGATGAATTATATTGTACAATGCCGTGCTTGTCAATTAAACCAATTAAGAAAAGATGTTTAAATCACAATTTCATCTCCTTTAGGAAATCATCCATCTTTTTATTTAACTTTACCATTTTACTTAATTAACAAGGATTTAATGGCAGTTAATAAATGATATATTAATTAATTTATGAAATTACTTTGTCCTTATTAAAGTAATTCATAATTTTAAATGCTTGTAATTTTCATTAGTTTCATCAAATAAGACAGAGCACATTCAATTAAAGCTGAGTTACCTTACTTTTAGTCCAAGTCCCAGGGAAAACCTCTAGTGTATCTAGGACGTGTGCTGGAACGATGATCAAAACTGTGACTTTGACAGAGGCAGGGAAATGCCTTGGGCCCAAGACGTGGTATCATAAGCAGAGAGCAGTACCATAGAGTAGGCGCTCAGTAAATATCTGGTGAATCAATGAAAGAAAAAAGACGTAGCTAGTGCTGCGAGGAGGACAGAAATCCCTCTTTGAATAGGGAGCCATTAACCTTAAGAAGAACTGATAGGACATCCACCAAATGGAGGAAGATGCAATGGTTAGATCCTCCTCTGAAAGAACATGTGTTTTTGTGGGACATTAAGGAATGGCATCAAGCTGATGATTATCAATGTAGATATCAAATACAACTTCTGTCTTTAGTTATTAAACATTTCTTTATTGGTAATTTATTACTAAGGACTAGTAAATATGGAAGCAACCCAAAGTCCCAGGTATGGGGCCTCAAGACAGAAGAAGTATGAGACTCTGAAAGAAGCAGGTCAGGCCATTTATGGCATAAATATATGTATGACAATAAATTTTACATTTTAAAAAACCCTACAAATGTTATTTACAAATAATTTACATTCTTCAGAAGCATTTACAATAATGACTCACTTTGCCAATAGAGATGGAAAGCTCTCTTCTTTAAAAGATTCAGTCTTACTCATGCTTGTGCCCCAATTTCAGCAAGGAGTTGCTGCTTTATAAATGACTGTGGATTTATACTTTAAGTATGAGCAAGAACGTGATTTAAGTGTAATCAAGGAAGATCCTACAAAATCTTGCTATTTATTTTACCTAGCTTGCTAGACCATCCTATATCACAGAGAAGGAGTGGATTTCTCATCCAGAAAACCTCCTGAAAAAGAAATTATCTGTTTGACATCTAGGTGCTACCCAAGACTTAAAGAAACAAGCACAGGAATTTGGGGTGCTCCCTTGGTGAGTACCAAGACAAAAGGGATCTTTCTATGTCTACTCTGCACCCCCTGGAACAAAGATCCTTGATACAGTCAGGCCTCCTTATCCATGGTTCCAAATCTGCAGATTCAACCAACCACAGATTGAAAATACCCAGAAAGTTCCAAAAAGCCAAACATGAATTTGCCATGTAAGGCAACTATTCACATAGCATTTACATTGTGTTTACAACTATTTACATAGTATTTACATCATATTAGGTATCATAAGTTATCTAGAGATGATTTAAAGTATACGAGAGGATTGCATAGGTTATATGCAAATACTATGCCATAAGGGACTTGAGCTCCCTGGATTTTGGTATCTACTGGGCGTCCTGGGACCAACCTCCTGTATTTTAGAGAGAAAAGAACCTAAGATCCAGATCTTCAATGAGACATCAAATTTATACCATTTAGGATAAAGAAGATGTGGTACATATATACAATGGAATACTACTCAGCCATAAAAAAGAATGAAATGCCATTTGCAGCAACATGGATGGAACTAGAGATTATCATACTAAGTGAAGTTAAGTCAGAAAGAGAAATACCATATGATATCACTTATTATGTGGAATCTAAAATATGACACAAATAACTTTTATGAAACAGAGACAGAGTCACAGTTATAGAGAACAGACTTGTGGTTGCCAAGGGTGAGGGGAGGAAAGGGATGGAGTGGGAGTTTGGGGTTAGCACATGCAAAATATTATATATAGAATGGATAAACAACAAGGTCCTACTGCATAGCAAAGGGAAATATATTCAATATTCTGTGAAAAGGCATAATGGAAAAGAATATTAAAAAAGAGGATGTGTATATATATATATATGTATATATATATACATATAACTGAATCACTTTTCTGTACAGCAGAAATTAACACAACATTGTAAATCAACTCTATTTCAATTTTTTTTTAAGTGAAATTTAAACCATTTATCTTACCTGGAGCTGAGGTTCTTTTGTGTTGAGTGTTTTCTCCCTAGCAGCTGAGAATGAAGTCTTGGAAGAAACTGTGGATGGCTGACTAAGAGAAGATATTTTGTTTTAGCAAATTTTATTTTAAACTTATTCACATTATGATCCATTCATGGAATGGATGAATGGAATACTAGGCACTTCTTAAAATGGCAGTATAGAACAATTTAATGAAAAAGTTAATGTTCATTTAAAATTTTCCTTCTTTCTATGGTATATCGAAAAATATTTCATATAATAAAAATATAATAAAATATACAAATTACATATATAATTCATATCATAAATTAATAAATAAATAAAAATAAATAAGCATATGGACCCAGAATTGATGAACTGCAACTCAGAAATAAATTCCAGTGTTTGTGCAACATTATTACACAGATATATTCTTACTTTCTAAAATTCTTCCAGTTACATCAAGAGTTCCTCTTGATGGAGGAATGGTGTGGACTTCTTTCAGGGTGCAAGAACTGGTCTTCATTACACTGGAACATACAGGTATTTCCTTAGAGTTCATCTGAGCAATTATCTGACAATGACCCTGAAAAAGACTCTGAATAACTGAATATGAAAGAAACTTGGGGTTCTTAAGTGCGTCATCTTCTATATTGACATATCAACGTTATTTAACTTACAACTTCAAAACCGAGTTGATACTATTAAATCATCTAATGTCATCTGTGGTCAGGTTCAACTAGCCCCTTAGCTCTAGAGCTGATCACAGAAATGAAAGTCATTTAAGGGAAGTAATTGTTGGTCATAGCTCCCTGCTGGAATTTTAACTGAAGAGTGTAATGCTCCTATTGTGTACTTACAGATGTGATCAATACAAGGGAGTGAGAGTTTAAGTTGTCAGAGATATTGGTTGTTCCAGCCCTGAAAGAAAAAGGTGGGGGGCTGGATTCAAAGACCACCGAGAAAATATATTTATTCATACAAAAATACTCATTGAAACTACTGCATGCTAGGCTAAAGATAAAAGGAACAAGAAAGAGACAGTGCCTCACTGTATGAAGTTTTATGTATTTTCCACTCACAAGCAATTCTTGAGCATCGTCTTTGTGCCAATATTATAGATTTGGGGCGGGGGGTTGGGGGGAGAGACAGCCCACAGTGCCTAGTCTTGAAAAGCAATACTATGCTCTATTTGTACTCTCTTTGGAGATATTGAGGAAATACACCATTAAAAAAGGGCAGGGGGAGATATCATTCAAGTGAATGTGCAATGGTATAGGCAGAATAATTTGAGGTAAGATTATTAAGTAAATGAAGTTTGACTTTGGTTCTCTGCTTCTGTTTTTATATATTTCCTTTCTTTTGGTGTCTCTGAGGCTCCCTGGCACTTTCCTAAGGCCTTGATGTTCACTATCCACGGCCTCAAAGCTAATCCAAGGCCAAATAACTAATTTGACAAACTAATTTCTACTAAAGCATCTACTAAACTAGTTTATCCTAACTAATCTGATGAACTGATTTCTACTAATTAATTTAGGGTTATTTTCCTAAATAAACCTAGAATAACAAAAATGCCGTATATTCTCATTGTGCTGTTAACGTATTTACAAGCACCAATGCAAGGTACTGTGTGTTCAACGGTAAGGGGCTACAAAGATGAATAAGGCATTAATCTTGTTTATAAGGGACCTTATAAGGAGGAGAGATCAATACATGAGCAACTTTATTCAAAGCAGTGAACAGCGGGGACGGCATGGGCATGAGGGCCAAGAGAGGGCTGAGCTTTCATCCCACACAGGCTGCCACTTATGAACTTTTGAGGTTCTGGGGTACAGCATTGCTTGAGGTCAATAGGTTCTTGCACCTAAACCTGTCATCAAGCTCCTTTAATGAACCCCAGCCTGGGTCTTCCTAGGTAGGAGAGGTAGAGAAGAGCAATTCCAGCACTAACGGGAGGAATCTGTGAGATCTCCAAGGGAAAGATGAACCTCTAGAAAGAGAAGCCTGGGCTGTGAGGTCCAGCCACTTTCATTGCCTTGGAGGGTCTACGGCCGATTTTTCAAAAGAGCTGGCAGATTTCCTTAAATACTAACAATACTTTTCAGAGATGGGAGGCGGGCTGATAAAAGGTTACTGTCCCACCCTACCAGATACAAAGACTTTCAAATGAGTTTTGTCTTTGTGGTTTAACCCAGCGATGAACACTGGCAATTCCAGGTCAAGTTGGAGGAAAGACAGTGCCTTGCTAGATCAACAAAGATATAACTGTGAACAACTAGCCCCTTTCATCACCTCTCAAGTCACACCCAGCACTGGAGGTTTATACTAAGAAGACAAGTCACAAAGCTGATCTACAACAGCCAAATGTGTTCCCACCTCCTGGACCCTCCCTTCTTATATTTTCATTTCTGTGACATTAGATCAAGTTTTTCACACTCTCTAGGGTACAACAACAGTCTTCCTTGTCTCCAGTAAAATCTGATGGCAGAGGCTTCCGGGAAGATGGCGGAAGAGTAAGACGCGGAGATCACCTTCCTCCCCACAGATACACCAGAAATACATCTACACGTGGAACAACTCCTACAGAACACCTACTGAACGCTGGCAGAAGTCCTCAGACCTCACAAAAGGCAAGAAACTCCACACGTACCTGGGTAGGGAAAAAGAAAAAAGAAACAACAGAGACAAAAGGATAGGGACGGGACCTGCACCAGTGGGAGGGAGCCGTGAAGGAGGAAAGGTTTCCACACACTAGGAAACCCCTTCGCGGGCGGAGACTGCGGGTGGCAAGGGGGAAAGCTTCGGGGCCGCGGAGGAGAGCACAGCAACATGGGTACGGAGGGCAAAGCGGAGAGATTCCCGCACAGAGGATCGGGCCGACCGGCACTCACCAGCCCGAGAGGCTTGTCTGCTCACCCGCTGGGGCGGGCGGGGCTGGGAGTTGAGGCTCGGGCTTCGGTCGGAGTGCCAGGAGAGGACTGGAGTTGGTGGCGTGAACACAGCCTGCAGGGGGTTAATGCGCCACGGCTAGCCGGGAGGGAGTCCGGGGAAAAGTCTGGACCTGCCGAAGAGGCAAGAGACTTTTTCTTCCCTCTTTGTTTCCTGGTGTGCAAGGAGAGGGGATTAAGAGCGCTGCTTAAAGGAGCTCCAGAGACGGATGCGAGCCGCGGCTAAAAGCGCGGACCCCAGAGACGGGCATTAGACGCTAAGGCTGCTGCTGCCGCCACCAAGAAGCCTGTGTGCGAGCACAGGTTACCATCCACACCCCCTTTCCGGGGAGCCTGTGCAGCTGCCACTGCCAGGGTCCCGTGATCCAGGGACAGCTCCCCCGGGCGAATGCACAGCACGCCTCAGGCTGGTGCAACGTCACGCAGGCCTCTGCCGCCGCAGACTCCACCCGCACTCCGTGCCCCTCCCTCCACCAGGCCTGAGTGAGCCAGAGCCCCCGAATCAAAGGCTCCTTTAACCCCGTCCTGTCTGAGCGAAGAACAGACGCCCTCTGGCGACCTACACGCAGAGGCGGTGCCAAATCCAAAGCTGAGCCCCGGGAGCTGTGAGAACAAAGAAGGGAAAGGGAAATCTCTCCCAGCAGCCTCAGAAGCAGCGGATTAAAGCTCCACAATCAACTTGATGTACCCTGAATCTGTGGAATACATAAATAGACAACAAATCATCCCAAATTGAGGAGGTGGGCTTTGAGAGTAAGATTTATGATTGTTTCCCCTTTTCCTCTTTTTGTGAGTGTGTATGTGTATGCTTCTGTATGAGATTTTGTCTGTATAGCTTTGCTTCCACCATTTGTCCTAGGGTTCTATCTCTCTGTTTTTTTAAAAAAATTTTTTCTTAATAATTATATTTTTATTTTAATAAACTTATTATATTTTATCTTACTTTATTTTACTTTATCTTCTTTCTTATTTCCTTCCTTCCCTCCTTCCTTCCTTCCTCCCTCCCTCCCTACTTTCTTTCTTTCTTTCTACTTCTACTAATTCTTTCTTTCTACATTTTCTCCCTTTTATTCTGAGCCGTGTGCATGAAAGGTTCTTGGTGCTGCAGCCAGGAGTCAGTGCTGTGCCTCTGAGGTGTGAGAGCCAACTTCAGGACACTGGTCCACAAGAGACCTCCCAGCTCCACATAATATCAAATGGCGAAAATCTCCCAGCAATCTCCATCTCAACACCAGCACCCAGCTTCTCTCAACGACCAGCAAGCTACAGTGCTGGACATCCTATGCCACACAACTAGCAAGACAGGAACACAAGCACACCCATTAGCAGAGAGGCTGCCTAAAATCATAATAAGTCCAGGGACACCCAAAAACACAACACCAGATGTGGACCTGCCCACCAGAAAGAGAAGATCCAGCCTCATCCACTAGAACACAGGCACTAGTGCCCTCCACCAGGAAGCCTACACAACCCACTGAACCAACCTTAGCCACTGGGGACAGACACCAAAAACAACGGGAACTACGAACTTGCAGCCTGCAAAAAGGAGACCCCAAACACAGTAAGATAAGCAAAATGAGAAGACAGAAAACCACACAGCAGATGAAGGAGCAAGATAAAAACCCACCAGACCTAACAAATGAAGAGGAAATAGGCAGTCTACCTGAAAAAGAATTCAGAATAATGAGAGTAAAGATGATCCAAAATCTTGGCAATAGAATAGACAAAATGCAAGAAACATTTAACAAGGACCTAGAAGAACTAAAGATGAAACAAACAACGATGAACAACACAATAAATGAAATTAAAAATACCCTAGATGGGATCAAGAGCAGAATAACTGAGGCAGAAGAACGGATAAGTGACCTGGAAGATAAAATAGTGGAAATAACTACTGCAGAGCAGAATAAAGAAAAAAGAATGAAAAGAACTGAGGACAGTCTCAGAGACCTCTGGGACAACATTAACCACACCAACATTCAAATTATAGGGGTTCCAGAAGAAGAGAAAAAGAAAGGGACTGAGAAAATCTTTGAAGAGATTATAGTTGAAAACTTCCCTAATATGGGAAAGGAAATAGTTAATCAAGTCCAGGAAGCACAGAGAGTCCCATACAGGATAAATCCAAGGAGAAATATGCCAAGACACATATTAATCAAACTGTCAAAAATTAAATACAAAGAAAACATATGAAAAGCAGCAAGGGAAAAACAACAAATAACACACAAGGGAATCCCCATAAGGTTAACAGCTGATCTTTCAGCAGAAACTCTGCAAGCCAGAAGGGACTGGCAGGACATATTGAAAGTGATGAAGGAGAAAAATTGCAACCAAGATTACTCTACCCAGCAAGGATCTCATTCAGATTTGATGGAGAAATTAAAACCTTTACAGACAAGCAAAAGCTGAGAGAGTTCAGCACCACCAAACCAGCTCTACAACAATTGCTAAAGGAACTTCTCTAGGCAAGAAACACAAGAGAAGGAAAAGACCTACAATAACGAACCCCAAACAATTAAGAAAATGGAAATAGGAGCATACATATCGATAATTACCTTAAATGTAAATGGACTAAATGTTCCCACCAAAACACAGATTGGTTGAATGGATACAAAAACAAGATGCATATATTTGCTGT